GGCGTTTTAACAACTTCACTTTATTAAAATTGTCACAGTGCCTGCAGTCCTGCCTCCCCCCTCACCTACCCTCAATACCTTATAGTACACTATTTCTAAGGCTTGGAAGAGTGGCTTCAAGCCACGACTCCAAGCCCTCTGCGTATTAGAGCCATTGACATCTCTCGAGTAGGAGATCACGACAGCGCCAAGGGAGACTTGTAGATGGAAAAAAGGTGAGTAATTTGTTTTAATTTTAATTATTACAATTTTTACATTTATACAGGTGGTGGAACCTAAATGACAATGGGCATCAGGGCTATAGCAATAGGAGGAGCATTGAATTGGCCTGTCATCCTGGAGGCACCAAGATAATATCACTTTAGGAGGATGTCGCGGCCCCACCATAGGCGATTCGGCGCTGGAGATAAGGTAATTTGTTTTAATTTTAATTATTTTTTTTATTTACTATTATTATACAGGGGGTGGGACCTATATGATAAATGGGACCAGGGCGGTAGCTTTAGGAATACAGATACAGCTCACGCAAAACATTATATACAAGTTATAGGTGATTTTCAATGTGTAATTTATACAGAGATTATGCTTCCACTCCAATAAATCAGCACATTATTTTAACATGAACTTGAATTTAAAAAAATTATAATAATTAACATAATTGAAGGCTTTCAATTGCGTAAGGTGTTTATATTCTTTGACACACTTATACAAATATTGGAAAGATGTACTGTAAGGAACTCACGTCTAGTCATAGGCGTACGCACGGGGTGTGCCTGGGCACACCCTAATCCCCGCGGCACACCTATAGATTGAGACTGGCAAGGGAGATCTCAGGATCTCCCCTGTCGGCTCATGCAGAGCCGGCACTATCCGAGCGCCAACTCTGCACTAAGCCTCCGTGGGCCGGTGGAGAGATCAAAGATCTATGATAGAAACATTTAAATATATAAAGGGAATCAACACAGTAAAGGAGGAGACTATATTTAAAAGAAGAAAAACCACCACAACAAGAGGACATAGTCTTAAATTAGAGGGACAAAGGTTTAAAAATAATATCCGGAAGTATTACTTTACTGAGAGGGTAGTGGATGCATGGAATAGCCTTCCAGCTGAAGTGGTAGAGGTTAACACAGTAAAGGAGTTTAAGCATGCATGGGATAGGCATAAGGCTATCCTAACTATAAGATAAGGCTAGGGACTAATGAAAGTATTTAGAAAATTGAGCAGACTAGATGGGCCGAATGGTTCTTATCTGCCGTCACATTCTATGTTTCTATGACCCACAGCAGCATAGAGGGAGGCAGGAGAGGACCCAGGGAGCTCTAGCCAGCAGTTCCACCAGGTTCCTCTCGTGAGATCTGAACGTTGCCGTGGCAACGCTCAGATCTCGCGAGAGTGAACTCTAGCCCCGCAGGCTAGAGTTCACTCTCCACTGGACCACCAGGGATGGCACATGGCAGCAAGGATCCCCCCTACCTACATAAGGTAACCTGCCCCCACCTCCACCCCCACAATCCCTCCAAATATACAACACACACACAGCACACACACACATACAGCATCCTCACCCACACAGCATCCACACACAGAGCACACAAACAGCACCCACACACACACACAGCACCCACACACATACAGCACACACACAGTACACTAACAGCACCCTTACAACCACACAGCACCTTCACACACAGCACACTAACAGCACCCTCACAAACACACAGCACCCTCACACACACAGCACACTAACAGCACCCTCACAATCACATGACACCCACACACAGCACACAAACAGCACCCTCACACAGCACACTAACAGGACCCTAGCAAACACACACACACACAAACACCCTCACACACACAGCACACTATCAGCACCCTCACACACAGCACACAAACAGCACCCTCACACACAGCACACTAACAGCACCCTCACAAACACCCTCACCCACATAGCACACTACCAGCACCCTCACACACACAGCACCCTTACACCACCCACTAACAGAGCACACACACATACACAGCAGTGTATGTATGTGTGTGTGTGTGTGTGTATATATATATGTGTATATATATATATACATACATACATATATATACAGGTGGCGTGTGTTTGTGCTTTAGGGTGCACACCCTAATGCAATAGGCTGCACATGCCTATGAGTCTAGTCTGCAAGACAATTTGTGTCAGATATAGCAGCAAGTGAGATTTCTGGCGCTTGTTCCTTATGTGTACAGCAGCTAAAACCTTCCCAAATTTGTGTCAACCTGTTTATCAGTAAAGTTGTTTTGTTTTTGTTCTTTGCATGTTTAAAAACTTAAAGTAAAAATATTTGACATGCCAGACATAACTGAAAGTGACCTAATAATTTTTTTTTTTTTTTTAATGTGTCACAGCTTCTCCAAGAGTCATGTGGCAGACCTCTGCCCCTGCCTTCAGGAAGTTATTTATGACTTGTTTGCTGCAGAGCAGATGGAAGCTGCATGTTTTGAAGGAGACTAACAGGATATTCTTCATTGCTAAATTGCACAATGACTTTCCTAATTTAATCTGCAATAGTTTTGCAGTCAAAACACTAAATCCCATTTATATAGAGATATTATGGATGATGATGTGGTGGTGGGCGGAAGTTTTGAAAGAACTCCCAGAATGTTTCCATAAAAAAGTATCTTCTGCCACTTTTGGGAGTCTCCTTTAAGTATGCAAAAAGCTATTATATTCCAGTTTTGAGGTCAGAAAAAAAACAGACCGAACTGTCCACTAACGAGTTTATTTGTTAAATTACGATTTAGTGAATGCAAAGTTTAGGCCAACAAAAGCAAAATTCACCATTTATTTTTCCAGCTGGTTTATTTTAGACAGAGAATACTACCCCGTAAAAGAGTGTGAAAGCCCTGGACGCATTTCGCACCTTCCTTGGTTCTTTCTCAATCTCTATCTCTCTCCTGTCTGGCAGTACATAATGTACAGAAACAAAACTCATTGGGATTTACTAACACAAATTGTAGTGAACTGAAAACCAAATTGTAAAATATAGGCAAGAATATCTGATTCTTTTGTCACAGTTTTACAAATTTAGCCAATATTTTGCAATTTGCTTTTAACTCTGTTGTGCTAATAGATAGCTCATAAAGTAAGCTGTGTAAGCTGAGCGCTACAATGAGAGATGTAAACTTGGCACCTGATTTAAAATGTGCATTGACTCTCTACAGCCCATATTTCCAAGGATAACACAATCAGTTAGCTAGTAATTCTCTCATTAGTTTAATTAATGCAATGTTCTTTTCAGGTACAGTTAAATTTTAGCAAAACCATATTAGAATTCCGAGAATAGACAAAAACTCATTCATTTAGTCCCAGCTCATGGATCAATCAAGTGTTTGCTTACTTGTACCATTACAGAGAGAGTCAATATACCATTTGCCTATCAAACTGATCCCACTTCTAAGGGCAGTCCAGGTTTGCTCCCTGAGTCAAAAGGATAATTCAGACATGGGCCCACTTGCTCACTGTGCTTAGGGGTGTATCAGTAAGGCCGTCTTTAATATTGATTGGACCCTGGGCAAGAATTTACTTGGGTCCCCTGGATCCTGCCTTCCTACACCCTAGCATGCAATCATGCCCTCCACTACAACACACACACACACACAAAAGACCCCCCCCAAAAAAACACACACACCTCGTAGACTATTAAACTTTAATAATGTAAACATAAAGAACTGGTTCACAAATAAGTCCTTAGCTTGACCTACTTGCCACCTGTAGCTTCTTTTAACCTCGGTCTTATAGTATATTTTTATTTACAGTTATATGTTGTTGGAAGAACAAGCATGCTAATATCTTAATAACAATAACTTTCAGTAACAGTGCAAATCAACATTATTACGTTTAAATTATAAAACAAATAACCATGCTGGCTAGTAATATCACACAAAAAAAAATCATAAATAAAATACAACAATTAACAATACAACTAAACAATGCAATTAAATAAACACTATTAAACCTTAAAAATTATAGAATCCAAGTGCACATTTCCCATTCCAATATGGTGAATAGGGAATCAAGTACCAGTGTTACATGGTCAACCTTATTATTATAATTCCTGTTAGGCACCAACTGCCGCAGTAGCAGACTATTATAAAAGAATACGTAGTTTGACAACCATTAACGTAAAGTGCAGAGAACTTTTACATAAAAAAGTAAAGAAATATTTTAATGCAAGCTAAACGAGTCTACGTGTTTTCTGAGCAGCAAAGGTCTTTGTAATATTCGAAAAATCAAGACCGCAAAGTATATCGGATTCAGCAGATATTGTAGATAGTTTGGTGAGACGGCTCTGGCTCGTGGTTGTGCGTTGTAAGTTTTTTTTATCAATTTCATTTTTGAAAAATATTGTTCACCTGAACTGTTAGTGATCATTAAAGTAAGGTAGATTTTTGAAAGCAATTTCCGTGTTGGGAAAGGTATCTCTTACATCCTTGTAATAAATTGTACTGTACATGAATTGCTCTATGCTGCAATTGTCTGGTTTTTCATCCAGGAAAAGAGAAATGAATGACTGAAATTGAATAAGCTCATCATCAAATGTTGTGCCCAGATCATGCCTGTAGAAAGCAGATAACTTTTCTGCTGCAATTTTAATAGATTCAGAGTCCATCGCTGGAAAGTTTATAAAGAAACCAAATAAATCACACACTTCACTGTAGGCTCCTAGGTGATGTTCCAGACACATTAAACGTTTGTCAACACATGGTAGAGAGGCCTTAGCATAAAAGGCTTCCTTTGGCATTAATTGTGCTTCTTCACTGTGTCCATAGTCAAGTGGCTGCTGACGGACATTCCGGCGTTGAAGACGACGGTGTTCCATAATATACTCTTCAGCTTCTGTTAGAAGCTTGCCATCACTGGAAAATGCATTTGTTGATTAACTAAATTATTTGCAGTCAAAACAGTATATTCGGCCTCTGTTATCTGAGAAGCAAAGCCACTCCCATTAAACCTTGTCCTCTTTGGGACAGTTACGAATAAACATATGTGCTGTACAGCAATGTCCATATTTAAATGATGTTGGAAATCCTTCATTGTGCAGTTGTTCCAGAGGTTTTCTTATTGACGGATTTCCATTTTTGGACCAATACTCCCGCATCTCCAGAGTAGATGAGTTTGGCCACAAACCAATGTCAGTAAGGAAACCAAACATTTCCATGGATTCTGGCAGTATATCAACTGCTTCAGCAGTAGCGTCTTGTATTTCAACAGTATGGAAGCTAGGTTTCTCAACTTCCATGGGAATTGGAGTGGTTTCTAGTGGCATTGGCTGATCAGAAGAATCCACTGTGTCGGCTTCAGAGCCATATTCAGATACACTTTGAGGAGGAATCTCTTCCTGAAAAGATGTACTAACATTTTCTTGAGAAGATCCACATGCAGAAGGCTGTGCAGATGATCCACTTGTAGGTACAAGAAAACCAGTTATTTTGGGAATTATACATATTTTTTCCTCCAACTCCTGCTTCTTCTTCCGCTTCTGAGCACCACTCAGAGGTTTGGACATGTTGAGGGCAGTCAGGCTCCTGAATAAATAAACGTGATTGACACCTGCAGTAAATAAATAATGTCAATACAGTAGGGTGAAAAATGCATATATTTTAATAGGATTTTTGCATATTTCAAATTTTGATGTTACAGCCAAGCATGCTTTTTAACTTACTACAGATGCAAAGTTCCCATAGAAGACATCTAACGAGAGCATGCGCCACACCAATCCCCTTCCTCCTCCCGCTGTTCTTCTATGCTTTGTCTGCTCTTTTCTTCTGTAGCTGTGCCCATGACTGTTACATGGATCTTCTCTATGACGAGTTAAGACTCCAGTGCATGCGTGTATACACGCAAGAGTAAATGTGCACGCCAGTGAAGCTTCCTCTTCTTTCATCAAACAATTTTGTCCAACATTAATACAACTCACAGTAATGTGACGCGTATCAGTGTATCGCATAGCTCCACAGCAATACAATTCACAGTAATGTGCAGCGTATCAGTGTATTGCATAACTCCACAGTAATGTGAGTGTATTACAGATTACCTCATCAATACAATGCACAGGAATGCGCAGTGTGTGAGTATATCTCAGCCAACCAACTGCTTTCCCACAGGAAAGCATTGGGAGGCTATTGTGCGTGCATGCATGGCAAAACACTGTGCTGCATCAATCAGCATCTACTCATATAGATTATTTGAATCAATGCATTTCTATGAGGAGTGTTTAGCCTGAATGCCAGTGCTGCACGTTGTGATGAGTGGCCGCTAGAGGTATTCCTAGGCAGTAATGTACATTTTCTGAAAAGGCAGTGTTTACATTAAAAAGCCTGCAGAGACATGCTATAGACACCAGAACTACTATGTTTAGCTGTTGTGGTTCTGGTGACAATATTGTCCCTTGAATAAAGAGAAAAAAGAGAATCAGCACAAATGTTTTAAATAAAATGGCTGTATAATTATTCTAAAAATTAAAAAAGCACAACTTCTGACACAAATATATAGTATTTTACAGATTACTTAAAAAAAAAAACACAATGTGCAGATAGTACTGTACTAACCCCTCCCCACTCCATCCACCCCTCCCTCCCTATTCTCCAACCACCCCTCCCTTCCTCCCCCCTCCAACCTAGCATCCTTACTGTGACAAAACTAGCCACTTATCTGTATAAGAGACTGAGTTGGTTAGACTATTTCTGGTTCACAAACAGAATATGGACATATTGTTCGTCAGTCCAACCAACTACCGAACTGGAAGACCACCCAGAGGAGTTGTGTGTCTCCAATTAAGTACTGTAACACCTTGAAATCCCAAGGTTCTAAATGGTCGGATGGGTGGCCGCCGTTCATATGAACGAACATGTGGTGGCGGCCATCTTTGAGCACGAACGCCCATCGTGTTTGGTCGTCGAGTGCGTGGAACTATAATCGGACACTCAACCTCGCGAACACCGCTAATCATCATCCTGTTCGTACGAGCATTTCCCGTTCGTCTAGAAAAGCGGCATTCAACTGAATGGAACGAACGGCCATCAGGCACACAATTACCCAGTTTATGAACACTTGCATTCAATAGTTTAATCGTAAGAACGCATAAAAGAAGACCGGTCAAAGAATTCAGCCGCATGGTACCGTTTTGGGACTTCACCTTGTGGCTGACCGGTCTAAAACTTCACTCGAATGGCGTTCCTGTTCTACCAAACAGATCTGAGTGGTATTTCGACAGAAATGTAGTTCTGATTAATATTATGGGAGTTATGATGTTTTAAAATATTGTTTAATTTTCTGTACTTGGGAGATAATCTAATTAAAGAATTGTCCTTATGCAATTATATTCCATGTACAGAAAAGGATCATGGGAAATGTGTACTTGTTCCTTGTCCTCCACAAGGTCCACCAGGGGTAAACCCCTGGAATGTAATTAAAGAAACCCCTTGCATGGGGAATTGCATGAAAGCCAGCTGTGGCTGAATAAAAATTAGTTGACTCCCAAAGCGGAGTATCTTCCAGTTGTTGGGGAATGGGATTGGAATTGTCGCGCTACGCTTTACTTGGATACTATTTGAGTCTACCAGCGGAGACACTGCCGTTAAGACGTCTACTCCGCCACACTTACCCCATAAATCAAGTAACATATATCTTACAGTGAATTACTGTAAATACTTACAGTTCTGAAGACTCCCAAAGGTTCAGGGTTCAGTGCTCCTGGCAGCTGGGCTCAGGGCTGAAAGTGGGCACCGCTCAGAAGTTCAGGAAGGAGACCGGGGCTCACCCTAGCTTTGCCGTGACTCTGCCTCCACCTCCGTGTGACGTGTATGCAAAGGGCAGGGGAGGTCAGGAGAGGGAGCAAGTAAGTCCTTCGCTATGCAGCGATGCCCTTGCTTGCTCGCAAAGTGAAGGATGGGATCGGGACTCGGAGCTGGCGGAGGCAAAATATTTAAGCATATTATTGTGGGCAGTGGCCAGCGGGGCTCAAGAGGCAGCTGCGTTGGGCCCCCCAGGAGCAACTGGGCCCAGGGCAGCTGTCCCTTTTGCCCCACGTTAAAGTGTATCAGCTACACTTCACTGATGATGCCCATTGTAGGCCAAAACAATCTTGTGGAGTTAGGGTTGTATCTGACATGCAGTGGGAACCTGCAAGCGTTTTGGATCTGGGCTGCAGTTGTGGGTGGGATTAATCTCATATGTGGCTGAATATAGTTTTTCTCTGTAATGGCGTGAGTGCACTACTATCTCTATAAGAACTGACTGGGTCCCATCAGAGGGCCAGCTAATTGAGCTGTTGTCTGTTCTCGATATTCTCTTGTTTTTAGCTATAGTTTATTTTTAGACCGGGGTTATATTACTGATAAATCAAATTATATTTAGCAAAAACATTCAGAGCAAATAGAAGCAATTCAGAAGCTGAAATTCCAATGTAATTAATAAACTCTACTAAGTTCAACAAACAAAATCATGAGTAATCATGCATTGAAACAATTCAAAATTGCTCAGGAATTCTTCTCAACATGTCTCAAATGTGTCAAATATGCCTCCAAATTTTTGCAAATAAATATTTTAAACTTTGCTAAATTATTTCAAAGTTTGTAAAAGAAATAAAGATAAGATCTTGAAATACCTGGCATTTCAGCATTAACATCATAGCAATGTTTATGGGCCGCTAAACAGAAAATGATGATTTTTGCATCATTGCAGATATAAAAAAAAGAAAAGAAAGAAATCTATGCATAATTTGTAAATGAATATATGTAAGTAAGTAACCTGTCAATGTATCTCCTAACTTATTGTTGCTCCACTGGAAAGCCATATTAACCCACTTTTGTCAAAAGTACTTATTGTCAGGCACTATTACAATATATACAGTATGACTATTTTAAACTTAAATGTGAAATTCACTTTGAATTCCCACTTTTTTGAATAACGCTGTTAGAGAGCGATTTATCATAGCAAAATTGTTACTATCGTAGGAGCACAATTTCTATATGTTTAGATCTATTCTATTGATCTCCACGGTGGTTGCACCTTATTTAGCACTTGACTCAAGAATCCTGTAATCTTTTATTTTAAATAAAAATGATTATAGTTCCTTTAACAGAGTAAGAGGGTGCATACTAATTTTCCTCGTTAACATATATATATATATATATATATATATATATATATATATATATATGTATATGTGTGTTGCTAATAAACAATATTGAGCCAAAAATCGTGTAGTTAAAAACATATACCAGTGAGGGCGCCACTATCACAAATGTGCAAATATAATTACCATTCAGATAGTTGAATATAGCATGTAATAGAAACAGAAGAGAAAATATACATAGTGAAGTATTTAATGACAAAAGGAAAAAATAAATAAAAACAATGGATACACTCACAAAATAAGTGGCACAAAGAGAAATACATCTATTTGTGCTAAAGAGCTTGCAGCTACAAAAGCCCCATACAGTTGATGTTATTATTATTATTATTGCCATTTATATAGCGATATCAGCCGTTGGTACCTCAGGGTGTCAGTCACCCACTGTATTCACCAGTCTTCAAACAAATAAATGAGAAAGAAGCTAAATGTTGTGAAAACAATATTGTTCTCACCAGCAGCATATGTTTCTAGTGTCAAATATTATAACTGCATATTATTAATATTATAACGCTACTAGATTGCTGGATATCTTCTTTTGAAAAGGTATATATACATACACACACTATACATTATATTTGTTTCATTTTTTGTTCATTACTGTTTTCATATATGTGGAAGCAATACAAATATATAAAAATATTTTCTATCATTTTTATATATTTATATTCATTTTTATATATTTATTCTATAATTTATATATAAATGTCTATTTTCTAAGCATTCGACATTTAGTTTCACCTTGGGGTGTTCATTCAGGTGACTTGATCTTAAGAGAATCTTTTTCTTTATGCTATAGTTTGCATTCCACCGTACACTGCCTACCTCATTTATCTTATACCTGAAAGCAATACTTGATCACTTGTAACAATTAATGACCAACCAGATAAGAAATATGGACGTTGCTTGAACAATTGCCGCTGTTAGCAGACAGATAAGGTCAAGTAACAAAGATCGGTTCACTAGCAATTATAGTTTCTACAAAGGTAAGACATGTGATTCAGCATGTGAATTGTGTACATAGTTATTACTTCTACTTATCTACCTGTAACCTTCTATTGAGAAGAGATCAGCAACACAATAAACCTTTAACAATAAAAATAGGGATGTTTTTTTAAGTCACAAAAGGTCATAGAAAAAAAAAAAAATATATATATATATATATATATATATATAATTACTAACAGATTCTTGGAATTACACCTAATAATATATTATTCTCAATGGGGAGATGACAATGTACTCAGTATTTGTAAGGTTCAGAAAGTCTTTATAATATGTACCAGTAATTAAAAATGTAATGGAAAACCTTCCATGGTAGGTAGATTAAGGTCAGTAGAGCACTGATGACAATAATTACCCATCCCAGTCAA